CACCGCCACCCAATGCTCCGGCTCGAAGCTGCTGCTCATAAGACCACATCGATGCACGAAAAGTCTAATCACCATCTAGACGCTACCACTCGTCTGGGTCCAAATCTGGTATAGTATCACTACCTGATGCCATGGCTCCGCCTCCCATCATATCATGCTACAGTGTATGAAAGCTATCTTTCGGTGGCTGAAACTACTGCGTCGAACTGGTGCCTGCATGAAATCCCACATAAGTGTCTGGCTGAAACTGCTATTGAGAAGGTGGGTGGAACTGGAAGGTCGAATTAGGTCTGACTGCTACACTCACTGACGATCTGAGGTCTTCACCTGACGAGGTACGTCACGCTACTCACGTCGATGTCTACGGCTCCTACGTGAACTGTGGCGGTGGCACGCTCAGGCCGATAGCTGAACCCGACGCTCTGGCCAAATGTGTAAGCTGTGCTCATCAACAGGGTGCCGCTGTATAGGTTCTGAAGGATTGTGATGTCGGCGCTCACTGAAACCTAAAGTTGTAACCCCTGCTGCGAATATGTCAGCCAACTCCTCCATCCGGTCAGTGGACATCCCTCAATCTTGAACTCCATCACGTAAACCCAACTCAGCGGACTCCATGTTGTCGTACTGAAAATTAAATTTAAAATATCAGAAAACCTACACATCTGGAAAAAAATTAAAACACAAATATGAATTAATAAAAAAACTAACCGCTGCGTTCATTGCAGCTCTTCTCCGTGTGCCTGAACGTCTAGTAACATCTCGATACCACTCTAGATGCTACAAGTGGTAGGCTAAATGGGCGTCATTGTAGCTCATATGCACGATAAACTATGTTGACGGTTCCACCACTCAATCGAATCGCTGGCTGCCTTTATACACTGTTGCCCACGTGATGCCCCTGCTAGCCCTGGCGATGGGAAAACCTAATATCAGCCGCACAATGTGGATGATGAGGCCGGTCCTGTATCATGCCAAACTGTCCGAGCACGCCATCTGGATGGTGCAACATCGCCGATGAAAAGCAGATTAGCAGAACTACTGCTCGAAACGTTTCGGACTGGATCAGAGTACCGCTGAAGTCCTGGGCTCTATCAAAGTAAGGACGTCACTGCACCCAAAACTTGGTCACATAATTACTCCTAAATCTAAACCAAATCAATGAAAACTATTATATAAAATGAAATGTTATATACTAACCACGAATGTCGTGCTCTCGTCAAACCACAACTTGTATGGAGAGAACTGATCCCCATGCTAACGGGTATGGGCCGGAAGCCATCGAAGGCCACGTAGGACTGCGTCCTCGGTAATCTGCGCCCTCGTCTCTATATGTAGTGGTGTTGTATGAGAAAATCGCTCCCACGCCCAGAGCATCAGCAAGGCGGACCATCCACCAAGGTCAACACCTAGTGAAGAGGACTGCGTCATCTGTAGCGCCGACCTACCCATTTCACGGTACATCTAGGATAGAACAACTACTCCCCAGACAAACTTCCCCGCTGTACTCCAATCCTCCACCAAGAGTAGGTACTGCAGATGAACTGAACCTCCTGACCGATCGGGAAACAAAACACCTCCCATCAGAGACAGAGAGCATAAGCTCGTACAAACTGCCATGTAGTCTCTAATGAAGCCGCCACCAAGATCATTCGGAGCCCGTCCTAACAGTCGAACACACATAGCCGACTAGTCATCGTCTGGTATGTCTACTACGACGGCATCACCGTCGATTGCTAGACCGGTAAGTGTCGCAACGTCCTCTAAAGTGATCATCACCTCACCGAATGCCATGTGGATGGTCGATGTCTCGAGTCGCCAACGCTCTACGAGTGCAGTAATCAAACCGGGGTCACCGGTAAGAGGGACCAATGGCAGAACCGTAAACAAGCCGCATCGACGAGATACGACTGATAAAGTGGATGGTATCTGACGAAATTGCTCGTACCTCGAATGTGGTTAGGTCCATCACCAATCTATAGTGCACAAAACTTATATTAATTCAATCATATGTGTCCTTCTAAATTCAGTTCACCTAATATTTATGTTTATATATAACCTAATTTTTTTTCTAATTTTAACGTGTATTTCATTCGTAATTCTATTTTATTCTAATTTCAGTTCAGTTCAGCTAATAAAAAAACTATAAAAATAGTTTGAAAACTTACATCGTTTGCCCAAACCGAGTCAATATGATGGTGCCCATGTCCCCAAAGAAGTATTGGATCCACCGGAGTTGTATCAATTGTCGCAGGTGGTGGTCTCATGGAATAACTATCCATAAGCCTAGGAATTAGAAAAAAAATTAATCAGAACATAAAAAAATAAAAACTAATTTAAAAAAAATCTAGCCGTCACCGACGAATACTCACCTCGGTAGCGGTCCCCGTCGCGACCTCGACCTCGCTGCCCTATCCCCCTTCCTCTATCGCCGGCGACTGGTTCATCATCGTTGGAAATTCTGGATCTAGATCTGTTGGGTGATGAAAAGTGGACGGCGAAACTGGCAGTCTCTTAGGCGGGGCTGCCTGAGTCTCTGGGGAGGACGTATGAGGCTGGGGCGAAGCCGCTGTCTGCCTAGGCACGCCCGCTTGGAGTCGGACGAGACCGATGCTTGAAGGAGGAAGGAGAAGCGGGGTTGGTGGTGTTTCTGGAGGAGGAAGGAGAGATGAGATAAGACATGAGCTGCGGGGATTCAAAATAAAAAAGGCTATGGGCGCCCCTTCCCCATACTCGGGCATGATGGTTATGCCAGCGGCTCCGCCTGAGTCTCGGACGGGCTCGCTCCTAACTCTCTATAAAACACAATATATGTGTAAATTGTTTTTAAAACATGAGCAAAACATCTCATTTGAATTAGTATACCATCAAACAACAAATCATCCATAGCAAGTTTTGTTTTCATATGGGTAATCATGGCATCATTGGTGCAACAGTCACCAAGGTAATCGAGGACAACTTCCTATCAAGATTCCAACCAAGCAGACACTTGAACAACCTAGCTCCCAACCTCTCACTAGTATGAGGGGCATTGACATAAACAAAGCTCAACATCATATTTTTAAGTTTCCAGGAATTGTCAATAATTACCCAGTCACTGTCATATACCCCATCTTTTGGTTGGTTGCAGTCCACATATCAGTTGTGACTGCAACTCTACCAATATTACCATCTAGATCCTTCTAAATCTTTGCCATTTCAGTCCCATATGTTTAAACCTCTGAGGTTGCAAAGAACAACAGAAAAGTTTAAAACCCTAATGTTCAACAATTTCCATGGGATACTCATGCACCATAATGATAGAATACAATTCCTTCATAGACACATCAGAATTGAATTGAGTAATAGATAGGAAGGGTTTTGCAGTTGGTTCATAATCAGGACCAAGAACTCTTTATCTACCATCATGTATCTTTCTTTGGGTGCAAATTTTATAATGGTTCCTCAGGTAAGAGGTTCCATTACTAGTATCACCACCTAATAGTTTTGACAGTACCTATACTTAGTTTTAATCTCCCCATTAAACTTCACCCTCACAAAATGTGACCAGACATCATAAGTCAATTTACGTTCTTCGTCAAGAATTACTTCAACATTTTCATTTCCATTTGTCAAGACATCATTACCATTACCATTACCATTTTGATTACGAAGCACAATAGGATCATTCACATTCAAAGCACTATTTTCAGTAGCACCATCCATCTACATAAACAATAAAACAATTGCATGCAATCATCAACCATAACGACTCAGACAAATCACACATGCAATCGAGAGTTGAATTTGAGGAAGGCTATGCCTAACCTGTTATCTGGAGAGGGAGGCTCTGTTCACCAGATAGTAGATGGCTAGTTGATGCATAATGCGAACATGAAGAACTCCCAAACAAAGTCAAACAAACAAAATAACATTACCATTCATAAAAAAAAACCAAGCTAATGAACCTGGAGAAATGAAGGTTTAGTTGTGATTAGCTCGACTGTGCTCTGAGCATAGTGAAGGTAATGGGTTTAGGGAAGAAGTTAGACTGACCAGTGACCCTGAAATTAAGCGAGAGGTTACAATATATACGTGAAAAAGAAGAAGCCAGTAGAAGCAACTAAATAGGAAAGGAAAAGGTAGAAAGAACTTATCTCGGTGTGTGATTGCCTACCATTCCAGTCAATAGCAGCGAATTGAAGATGACAGCGGGCAATTTCGGGTTCTGCATACCATTTCTCGATAAAATCGCCGACAAAAATAGCATCCAATTGGCCAAATTGGGGATAATGATTGCCTAATGGAAATCATTTATGTATAAACAGCCTGGATTGGGAGGAATTCGTGGGGAATCAGCGAGATTTTTGACTGGAATGAATGTTTGGGGGATTCGAGGGAGAGAAAATCAGCTAAGGGATCTAGGGGTTGGGGGTCTCGAAGGGGTGGGAGCAGTCAGTTTGCGAAGCCGAGAAGATATGAGGATTAAGGTTTCTCTGTCCTTCGTTTGGTTTATATACGACGTCCAAAACGATGTCATTTTAAGATACGGGGCGGATACTACGGAGTCCGTCGCCACCCATCACCCGCTATTCATGGGTTTCAGGCATACCCGAATCATCCAAATACCGAAGTCAAACAGGTAATTTGGTAATCATGTGGGCAGGTTTGGGGTGGGTACCCGACAGGTTGGTCAGGGTTGCCACGCTTACACCCATATCTCACGCTTAATTCTCATCATCGGATTAGACCACATATGATATGGCAATATATATGTAAATAGGGAAAAATTGCAAGTTTGGTCACTTGAATTACTAGTAAAGTTCACGTTAGCCACTATAATTATTTTATTCTATTCGTAGGGGAGCAGATACAATAACAACACACCTTATGTTGTCATAATAACAGCAGGGTAAAAGGGTCAATTAATCAAATACATGAAAAATAAAAATTAAATTAAAACACAAAACAACTAAATACACGTTTTCGATTTCTCCGCTCCCAAATCCCAATCCATACGGATCTCAAGCGTCCCAGCGTTCCTTCTTCTTCAGGAGCCGACACAAATCCAATAACTCTGGCACCACATCGTGGAGCGTGCAACGTGCGTAGAGCCGGGTGAGGACACCGACGACAGCAACAACAACGGTCGCTCTTCGAAAATTCGCGACAGCGGTGATGGACGAGGAGCATCCGTGTGAGTGGATACTGGAACGAGAGATGGGGAAAAGCCTGATGCGGTGAAGATTTGGTCGATGTGGCGACGTAGGGAAGACAAACGAAGAAGGAGGATCTGGTCGTCCCACTTCACCCCCTGCGGAAGTCCGATCTAGAAGCGTGGAGGAGAGATCCAACCACCAACAGTGGCGGCTTGTCCCTTCTCTAGCGAGGGTAGGATTTTCTATGATTTTTGGGTTTTCTTGCTGGGTTTTGATGACCATTTAATTGATTTGGGTTTTTGAGTTCGATATCTCCTCCTCAGTTTCACCGGTTCACAGAATCTGCTCCAAATTGATGATTAAAAAACCAACTTTTTCATTCTCTTGTATACTCTTGGTTGAACGATTCCTTTGCACTATTGTTTCCCTAAGAAGACTGAACATAACTCCAACCAATGATTGAAGGGTGGAAACTTTGCTTGAAATTTGTTCAATTCATCGTCTTTTGGGCTTCCTATTATTGGCGCTTCGGTGACTTTAGGTCCTTTGTCACCTGCATATAATCTTTTGGAATTGCTTTATCATACTTTCTACTGCAGCGGATGTGAAACCTCAATGGAGGTGGACAAGCAAACCAGAAAATTCATAATGCAAACCGTAACCACGATAAATCAAACCACAAAAAGCAAACTAGAAACCTTCTAATGCAAACCACAACTTCTTTAAAACTTACCAGAAACCTCACAACCAAACCAAAAATTTTTCAAAAGCACACTATAAACCTCCTAATACAAACCACAAACACGGTAAAGCAAACCCCAAAAAGCAAACGAGAAATGTCCTAATGCAGACCACAAATCTATTAAAACAAACCAGAAAACCTGCAAAACACTTTCCCGCTTCCGCTCCGAAGACACATTTGAGCGGGTTGAGCCTCAGGTTGTTCCTTCGCGAAGTCTCGAAGGTTTCTCGTAGGTCGGATAAGTGGTCGCTGGCCTTCTTGCTCTTGACTAGAATGTCGTCTACGTAGGCCTCCACATTCCTTCCCATTTGGTCATTGAAGACTGCATCAACCATCCTTTGATAGGTCGCTCCCGCATTCTTCAACCTGAAAGGCATGACCACATAGCAGAAGTTGCCCATGGGGGTCATGAAGGCGGTCAGTTCATGGTCGCATTCAGCCATTTTGATTTGGTGATAGCCAAAGAACATATCTAGGAAGCTGAGGGCTTCGTGATTGGCGGTTCCTTCATTGATTTGGTCGATGTGAGGAAGAGGATACGCGTCTTTGGGGCATGATGCGTTGAGGCTGGTGAAGTCAATACACATCCTCCAGGCGCCTCTAGCTTTGCGTACGAAAATCGGGTTTGAGAGCCATGTGGGATATTGTACCTCTCGTATTAAGTTGGCCTTAAGTAGACGCCGCACCACCTCTCCAAGGGCCATTTGCTTCTCTAGCGACAAGTGCCTTCTTCGCTGTTGAATGAGTCGTGCCTTAGGCTTGACGAAGAGCCGGTGTTCGGAGACCTTATAGGGGACACCCGACATGTCTTTCGGTCTCCAGGCGAAGAGGTCTTGAAACTCTCTCAGGAGCGTAAGTAACTTTTGGGCCTCTTCCGCAGCTAGATGTGACGAGTGCCTACCGTTTTGTGGTGTCACTCTTCGTCTAGGGAAACTGCTATGTCTCCCTCAACCGCCTCTGGGCACGGACATCACCTCTTGCATCGACTAGGTCAACTTCGAGGTGTTCAATGGTCGCTTGGTAGGACTTCTTTGCCTCTTTTAGGTTGCCTCGAGCGCGTCTTGTTTGTCCTCCGCTAGGGAATTTCAACATCTGGTGGAATGTGGACACGACCGCTTCGAACGACGCGAGGAAACCGCACCCAAGGATGGCTTTGTAAGTCGAGGGGCATTCTGCTACTTGGAATTCCTGAGAACCCTACCAAGCTGGTGTTGGAGGTGTTGAGGTCTTGGACGCTCTTCTTCATGCCTTTAAGAGCTGAGTAGAAAAGGATGTCTGCAGAGCTCCCATTATCTACAAGGGCCCGGGTGACCTTGAATTTGGCGGTTCTAAAAGAGATGACCATGGGGTCTTCTAAATTTTCTTCCTTAGCCAACTCGGTCGGCAGGAAGGTAACGTTGGTTGGCATTCTGCGCTGGATGTTGAGGCAGTGGGATATGCGATCCCCTTCGACCAGGGACGCTTCCTGTCCCCCTTGATGGTTATGACTTCCATTCCGTCGTCATCATTGCGCAGTGTTATGTAGACGGGAGACTTTCTTTGGGGTGAGATGGCCTTGTTCATGACAGGGGATCTTGACCTTTCGTTTCTCGACCTCCTCGTTTTGTCTACTTCGGGACTACGGGATCCCTCCCGCATTTCTTGGGAATGGTCTCGATGTGGACGCCGGGTTTCGAGGTGGCTTCGTAGGTCTCCCGGAGCCAAATATCTCAGGCTCGCTTTGAACTCCCTACACTCGGTGGTGTTATGGGTAGTGATTTGGTGCCAGTCGCACCATTTCTTACCGTCTTACGGCTCATGGAAGGAGGACGTATCTTGTTTTCTCCCGCCTCTTCGTCTTTCACTTCCTCTTTCTCGGTCAGTGGAAACACTTCTCTTTTTCCATCACGCTTTGTGTATCTGTTGCGATACGACTTCCGCTCTAGGGACCTCCTCCCGCGTCGTGTGTATGCACGCTATAGGGAATCTCTCCGGGGGCGACCTTTTTTACTACGATCGTCAGTTGCCAATGCTTCCTCGAGCAAGATTACTCGCCGCACCAACTGATCTAGGTCTGACCATGACGTTAGCATGGCTTCCTTTTTTATCAGGGTTCTCTTGAGTTCGATGCTGGTCGTGGATATTCTGAGATTGCTGGCGTCTACAACCAAAGAGATGCCCTCTATTTCGCACTCTATCGCGTCCCATCGGTCGTAGAACTCCGGGAGTGACTCTTCTTTAATTTCCTCTGTCTACAATTTATGAGCTAAGACGGTTAGCTTGCGAGTTTGTTGGGATGCGAACTTCGTGGAGAAGAGCATCACGAATTGTTCGAAATTCTTGATTATCCCTTCCGGGAGGGAGGTGTACCATGTACGACATTGACCGCTGAAGGTGACGGGGACCGCACGGCACAAGTCTGACGCGTTAATGAGCTGCATCTTTAGCATGAAAGCAAAAAGATGGTTTGCGGGATCTGAAGTCCCACTGTAGGTTGGTAGTCCGAGGGAGGAGAAGTTAGGCGGGACCGTGGTTTCGAAAAACTCCTTTGATAGCGGGTTTTGAAGAACGTTCGGGCTATTTTGCTTCCCGTAGGTCAATCGCATTCGCAGATGCTCATCACGGAAGCTGAGATCCACGTCTTCCGCGTCCGGTCCCCCGCCTTCTGTCTGAGCAGAGCTGCCGGGAACTTTGATGGCTTTCTGCTTCTCCTCGCGCGTCCTTCCTCTTGAACCCTGGGGGGGGGGGGGGGGGGGGGGGGGGTCTTCCATGGTCTTCAAGAGCTGGACGATTTGAGAGAGACTGTCTTGCATGTTCGCGATTTGCAAGCCGTGACTTTTGACCACCTTCTCGAGCTCGACTTCGTCTACGCCTCTCGGCGATAGGCCTCGAAGGGTGTTATTCTCAGTCGTCCCTTTGAGAGGGGTCTCGAAATCGCCTCTCATATTTTCCGCAACGAAGTTGTGAGGCCCCCTGGTGGGCGCCAAAATATTTGTGTTGGGATGTTCCAGGCGGTTTGGTGAGACGTCACTAGCCTCGTGCGGCCTTTGATGGATGAGGCGGTCTTCAAAGCCCTGCACGAAAGGTCCTTAGGGGTTTTCGGGGACCTCCTCAAATGCCAAAGTTAGAGAGAGCAGTGAATGAAGTGTAAATTAGAGAGAGAGAGTGGAGTAGGTAGAGTTACCATAAATGCTGCTCTTAGAGGATATTTATACTAGTTTTGGCTGAGGTGTGTGATTAAATAGCTTGTCAGGCGTGTGAGGATGCCTTCGGCCTTATTAAATGCACGGTGAGGGGATATCTCTGCAAATCTCCATATTGACAGGAGTGACGGAGCCGTTGGACCTATTGTTGAGCGGTATAGGCGATTTCTGTCGTTTAGACATGTCGGGCGGTCTTTGGCTTCTTTTGGGACCGCCCCCGGTCGGTATCCCTTTTATTGCTGGGCTTTGGCCTGCTTTTATGAGCTTTGTAGGTCATGAGCTTGACGGCCCAAGAACCTCCATGATTGGCCCAACATCTTTAAAATACAAAATGCAACAAATCCTTCATAAATCTAAAAAAATTCAAAACTCAAAACATTTATTTTAAAATCTGTCAAACAAACGAGCCCTAAATCAACCTAGCTCTTCCACTCCTGGAGTCGTTGCTTCCCCTCAGCGCGAGTCCCATAAACTCCATCATCAAGCACTTCGTACTTATCTCCATCCCCGACGACTGTCGTGAAATCGAGACGCTTGTCTTGGAAAGCCAGGTGGCACGCAAAGGTGTTCCCTGGATAATGATCATTCGGCCGGAAACCCCAACTGTAATCGGAATCGGCCGCCAGCGCACGAGCGGCGAGGTCGATGTATTTGGATCGGCAGTGCACTATCACTGCCATTCTGCTACTTAACTTGTTGGTAACACGATACGTTACTGGGTAATAATATTCCTGTGCTGCAGAATCCTGTATCAGTACCGTCGCCAGAACGACCGCCGGTAGTAGCAGTTTGCGGATCATAGTATTAGTAACCAGCTGCTGCTCCCTCGTCACTATATATAGTTACAGTGAAACTACTGTAATCGTTTGATAAGAACTGATGATGAACTGTGGTGTACTGATCATTGACGCAGTGGGTTTTATAGTAGTGAATTGATCGATGGTAAGTTGATAACTAGTGTATAAAATTAAGGGTGCATGGGGATTATAGGGCTCTGTGTCTTGGCTCTTGTATTGTGGCTGTTATGTTACTTGGATTTACATACAGCAACTCCGGATTGTTTTCGGCAGCTTTGTCGTCGTTTAATTAATTTTTGGGGATTTCTGTATAGTTTGAATACCCAAGGTATGTCTATAAATCGATCGAGCTTGATGATATCGAAATTCGTTGTTTATTTAAGGGCTTATAAGTTGTAAAAGTGGTCTATATATTTGAATCTTTTCCTGTTATTAATTAAAACCAATGGGTTCTTATTATATATCAAATATTTTGCCCGAAATGTTGTGTTTAAATTTCATGATTTGAAATAAAATTCTAATAATGGATTCAAACATAATAAGGTATGATGAGGATTTAGAAAAGTCAAGTAGATGAATTGATTTTCATTTGATAGAGATTGTAAAGTTGTGATATGAGATTCATATTTGAATATTTTTCGCAAAGGGCCAGTCGCAATGAACGAAGACAATGATGACGCTTGAAGTGATGAACAAAAGATCGCTGCACAACTCGATAACGAGTAATGCACAATATCTTTTATCGATGTTCATGTTGTCCTGATGAAAGAAGCTAAGGTTGTACGATGTGAATCAACTAAGGAAATATGGGATCTCTTGCATACAACCCATGAAGGTATTTACGCCTAAGGTAAAGAGAAACGAGAGTTATTGATGCCTCCAATTATGTGTTTTCTCGGGAGGAAAATTTTGTGTTTGAAATCAATGAAAGCATTTGTGACTTTTGGAGCATAGATTGATAACACGGTTCAGATCTTTCCAAACAATGTTCGAAAGAGGGTTTATGATGTTTTTTATGGTTTTCTGGGCATAATTAAGTTATGTTACTCTACTCTTTTAGAGGTTCAATTAGAGCTTCAGAAACTACCTATGGCTAATTTGCAGAAAATGTAAAGTTTGACATTAGGTATCAAATGTTTGGTCGTGTAATCCTTACTTCGTCTTCATTTTTCTTATTTATAGTCATCACGTAACCGCCTATTTGTGCCGCTCCTCCGGATTGTTTTTGGCAGCTTCTTCGTTTAGTTCTGGATTTCTAAACAACACAGAAATCCGAGGTATATGTGTATATATCCAGCTTAATGATATCAAAATTGTTTGTTTATCTAAGGGCTTGCGAAAATGGTATATGATATCTATTTGAATCTTTCTCAACAAGTCAAGTTATTAAAATTAATGTGTGCTTAATATAATATCAAATTTGTTTACAAAAATGTTATGTTCGAATTCTCATTATTTAAAATATTAATAATAAGGTATGATGAGGATTTACAAATGTCAAGCATATGAAAGACTTTCAATTAAAAAAGCTTTCATATTTTAATATCTCTCAACAACTAGAGTCATTATAACCAATTGTCTGGTCTTAGGATACGAGGGACATTGTTTCCATGAAAAAGTGAGCATTTATACTTTCAGAGCCAAAAGTATAAACATATGAAAAATGTTTATATGTATAATATGCCCATTTAATACGTATTTTTATCAAGCGTGTTCCTCTATTATGTTTTACATCAAGCATATGCCTCTATGTTTTGAAAAATTAATCCAATACGTTTTTCGGTTAAATTTTTTATCCCAAAATAATCAACCACAGTCAAACAGTGGTTCGGACGACATGATTTTGTCTCGGCAAAATGGAAGAAAATGTCAGATGTATCCCTTCATTTAATTATCTAAGTCTCGTTAAAGTGAAATTATTAGGGTTAATTGGTTGTATAAAAGGAAAATAAAATCAATGAAATTATTTGGGAGATTTTAGACATTTGGGTAATCCAATCCAAGGTTCCATGGTGTTTAATGTTTGTTTATGAAAATTGTAACAGAATGACATGTTTGATATTTTTTCCAACATGAACATGTTTGAAGTAAAAATTAATAGAGACGCATGTTTGAAAAAAATGAGTAAAGAACAAGCACATTATGCCTACATATAAAAGAAATGTGAGAACTCCAATGTTGGTCACTCGAATAATTAAACAGTCCATGTTTGGTCACTCGAATTAGTCAAACAGCCAATGTTTGGTCACTCTCCATCGTACTGTTTGACTAATTTGAATGACTAAACACGGATTGTTTGACTAATTCGAGTGACCATGCATGGATTTTTTGACTACTTCGAGTGACCACCATTGAAATTAAATATTTCTAGTGACTAAACATAACACTTTTTAGTAAACTCGGTGACCCATACATGGAGTTTACCCGACTTACGTTACGTCTGAGGTAAAAGAAATCATATCATTTCAATTTCCTTTCCCTCGACATTTCAATCCCTTCAATAGCATGTAACTATGCACCTTCGTAAACCAAAGCTACGAATTACGGAAAAAAAAGTTGAGAAAGCAGAGAGGAAGTCGTAACTCGGTAATCACTAGCCTAACAAGTTCATGAGCCTACGTACGTCGTACGGTACCCAAATTCACTTCCATTTACCCATAAAACTTTCCCCGTCGGTACTGGTCACCTTCCCATAGAGCCCGTCGTCATAGGCAACCCAGTAATGGACTTTAGCTTCGTCGCTCCCTTGATCATACGCCACGAAAGAAAGCCGCCGACCCTCTACCGCCAAATTGCACCAGAAAAGTGTCGTGCCTAAGCCATTCGGCTCGAAACTCCAATCGAAATCCTCGTCAATCTCCACGGCGTGGGCACGAAGATCATCGTCCCCCGACCAACAATGCACTATCAGTATCTTGCTGCTTAACTTGTTGGTAACGTGAATCCTCACCTTGATAGAATCAGCCGTAGAATCTTGAACTGGTACCGTCGCCAGAAAGAACGCCGTTAATACCGCTTTAAGGATCATAACCAGCTACGTACTCCCCTCGATCGTCACTTTGTAAGATGATGATGAATTGTGGTGTAGGACTGAATACTGATTGGCGTAGTTCGTTTTTAGTATTGGATTAATAATCGAAGATAAGTGTATGATGAGAGGTGCATGGGAATGAAAAGGGCTCTTTCGTTACGTAACGGCTCTGTGTATTATTATTAGCCCTTTCTTGTGTTATGGCTGCTACTATGCTACTTGGATGTACTGTAGCTCAGGATTGTTTTCGGCAGCTTTGTCGTTTAATTTTGAGGGATTATATATGCTAATCCCCTGTTACGTGAAAAAAATCCAGGGTGAATCTAATCCAGTTCTTGATGGCATCGAAATTTTTTTGTACGTACTTTTTTCGCTAAATTAAAAAATAGTATATAGAATGGATAAAGACAAGTATACTCCAGATGAATAGATTGTGAGAGATATTTCGATGAGCTCCGATCGACATTAGCGATCAATTTCTTTTTCATTACATTAAAATTTCGGTTCGATTTTAAAGAATCAAGACCTGGGATTTATTCATAATTAAAGGTTTAGGTATAATATCATATTCCAAACTCGGTTAAATTCATAGTTTATATAGAAATATTTTACTAGATATAAGTAGAATATAGTATAGTTCAAGAATAAACCAGTATATATAGATGTATCTGATCGTAGTGGTAAGGATAGCAGCACCATTAATGAGGTGAATTTTTTGGATCATCTTATTTCGCTTTCGTATTATCTGATGGAAAAATTATGTTAGGAACCGTTATATATAAAAACAAAAGAGGTGATGCGGTTCGTTATAAAATAATAGAACTAGAGGTAAAATAAATTAAATAAAAATTATCCGGTTAATACAATTCATAAAATATATGCAACTAATGAAATTATTATTTTTAAGAAATAACCGAAGATGTATACATCGCTCATCATCAACTACAATTTCACAAAAAAATAATCTTAGAAATTTGACATCCAGTGAGAAATTGTTGAATTAAGAGGGAATATGGTGAATCTTGATGTTAATGGTTGATCAATTAATACAAATATAGAAAACCTACAGAATGATTTTCATTAGAAGTAAGTGAAAAAGAGAATATTATAGGATACATTTAGCATTCTAACACTTAGAATAACTGATATTAATTATAGGTAGTATCTTCATAAGTCTCGGGGCTTTGTCAGGACCTTACTCTCGATCGTACGACCTTAGCTCTCAATTTCGTTAGAGATGCTACGTATGCAGCCTTCTCACAAATTCAAAGGCAAGCAAAGAAAGCCAGAAAAACAAAGGAATACGGGAGAACTCTCTAATGAGTATTACTCTAAAAATTGATTGAATGAGTACAAATGAGTGAGATGACTCCTTATATAAGCTTCTCCACGTACAAGACATCAATGCCCCTCATAATGGCCCTTCTACATCAATACATCGATTAAGTGCCCCCATAATGCACTCTAATAATGTCACCCATTATGTGACTCATAAATGCACAATTAACCTTTCATTTAGGTGGAGAATCCTAAATACGACTCTATGCTTCTAGTCTTCCATACACGCCACATGTGCAGCCGCCATGTTGTCACCTTGTTGGCATCATATCATTTGCCACATGTGACAGCTTGGGCTTTAGCACTTCTTTGTTTTGCATTGTACCATATTTGGGTTAATAACACAAATTTTTAAATCCTCTTAGGCTTTTGTTAATCAATGACACTCAAGTCTTACTTAAAAACTACATAAGAGTCGTGGTGCTAAGTTTTAGTGGGTGCAACAAGATTGCGAGGTTGGCATCCCTTGAACTTCTTGGCGATCTCTGTGTAGGCAATATGTTTAAGGAGGGATGAGATTTCGTGATTTCATCTACCACAATGTCACTTTGTTGGACAACAACCCATTTCCCTCATACTTCATTTTTGATAGCCTTGTTGGGGCATTGGCCTCCTTGGGCTTTACAGAGAATCCTTGAAGGGTGCTCTACTACTACTATGTACATGAGATTAGTTAACATATCAGATCTAGCTAGAACGATGGTGAACATTACTCAGGATATTTGGTGTCCCTCACACCAATTTGAATGTGCTCAAGTCTGAGATCTTGTTTCATGACCAGATAGCCGACCAGTCAAAGGAACAAAATGGGTCTTCAGGAATAAATCAGATGAGTCTCGTAATATCACCCGGTATAAAGTAAGACTTGTTGCCAAATGCCATGACCAAGAAGAAGGTATCGACTTTAAAAAAGCCTTTGTCCATGTTGCACGCATCAAAGTTATATGACTGCTCTGTGGCTTTGCCAGCACCAGCAAGATGAAACTATATAACGTGGATGTCAAGAGTTCTTTTCTGAACGGCTATCTGAATGTAGATGATCATCCTCCTCTATTTGGAAACCATTTCTTCCTAGACCATGTATACAACTCAAGAAAGCACTATGTGGCTAAGCAAGCTCCTAGAACATGGTATGAAAGACTAAGCTCCTTTCTTCTCGAACAATAGTTCTCAAGAGGATTTATAGACGCAACTCCATTTCTTAAACTTCCCTCACTGGTATCCTTATCGTCCAAATCAATGTTGACAACATCGTCTTCACATCCACAAATGAGTCTCTTTGTACTGAATTTTGTACTCTCCTGCAAAGCACTTTTGAAATGAGCATGATAGGAAAACTATCCTTCTTTATAGGGCTTCAAATCCATAATCTTCTTAGGGAAACCTTATATATCCATCAAAGAAAGTATACGAAAAAATTGTTAGACAAGTACCGGATGAAGTTTGCCATACCTATAAAAACTCCAGTACCTAATCTATCTCACTGCCAGTCATCTTGATTTACAGTGTCTACTTTTGCACATGCTTTCAAACCAATCGCAGGCAAACTTATCATACAGTTGTCCCTCTATAATATATAGCAGTACTTCAGGAGATTTTGAGCATTTCAAATTCCTTGCACTTTCCTTAATTGTATTTAGGGGTAAATTTGTAAGTTCAACTTAGAACTTAAATATCTTCTTACGAGAAAAAAAAAATTTCATTACAAAAACTAGAACTCGAGTCATTCAGATTGATAGTCAATATCCCTAACCAACTAGACTACAATAATATTTATGTATTTTTTGAATTAAAGATACAACATACTGAAATATCTCAAAATCATAGGACTATCCACTGCAACAATCAATCATCGAATTAATTAATAACTGTAATTATTTACAAAGTGAATCATCATGATATACCTAGCTTTATGAATCAACTAAGTGAGTTCCTGTAATTACACAATTCTTCACGAAGAATCAAATAGTACATTTTGAGTTTATGTATGTCTTACAACTTTTATATTTATTAGGTTACATGACTTTGTAGTTTGTAGGAATACAAGGATTGTTTACACAAATGCTTTACAAAAGTGCTATACAAAATTTTATTTCTAAACATAAAGTTTGACATTTGTGATCTATGGTTTTGTAACGAGACATTTTCAATGCGATAAGTGAATGACCAAAAATCATTGGCTAACAATTTCCCTAATGGTTGACAATTATAAGCATAGAATTGAAAGACTAAATACCATTGACAAATGAGCCAATTATCATTGGCTAAATTTAACAAACAATGGTAGGTGTATATACATTGGAAATTCTATGCTACGCTCAATGGATTGAGGGTTATTGCATCTCCTTAGTTAAATATCATTATCTAGACCATAGATTAATCACGTAACTAAACCCTATATCATAATTCTCTAAATCATAATATAGTGCATATGGTATGTTGTATACATCTTGGCGAATCAGAATCATTGATTATGTTCTTAGTATATGTGATATTAGGGTTTAAGTTCTATAGATTTAGGGTATATGATTTAATTATTTGAAACTTAATCTCCCTTTTCAAATTTTCTGCAATGAGAGGGAAATTAGGAATGGCATTTTTGTCTTCACAATTATCTGTATTTTTTATTTATTTACAGAAAAAGATAAACATATTGAGATTTGAACCATGGTCATTTCAAACAAAATGAAGTTTTAAAATCAATCAAACTATGTAGATTTGTTGTATTTTTTTAAATTAAAAATATATAGGAAGCTAAAATATGAAATCACAGAACTTTTCAACAGTTAGGTAGCCCAATAAGTATTCTGTAAGTACTCATTTGGTGTTTTGATACTTCAATTTTGATATTTTCCTTTTAATTATAGTTTAATACTTAATTTAAAATTTTATCTATCTTATATATAGACGATAACCATAAATCTGCAACCAAAATATTGTTGGTTCGAATATTTCATATAGAATTATAGTATTGAATATGTAGAAGCAATATAGAATTCTTAAATTACCATTAATTTCGAGAACTATAGTGAAGCAATCATATCTTTGTGCAAACTATAGGGGACTAGTTCTCTGAACACTTTTGTCCGGTTATAGACTAAGTTTTGAAACTCTTCCTACGGGTGTAATTGGGTCGGTTCGTTTGGGTTTAGATATTTTAATCACCTAACTCATATACCACGATTTTGAAAACACTAAATACAAAATCGCCCAAATAATTTATCGCTTAATGATAACGATGTAATTGCACATATTTGCGCCCCTAGTTCTTATCCGTTTGAGGGGCATAGTCGTGTATTTTTGGCCTATTTTACGTCGGGTTGTGCTTTTTTGTCATATTTCAGGTCCCAGGCGTCAAAGGAAAGGCTAAGCCGAGTTTCGGGGCATTCGAAAGTCATTTCGTCGAGCTGGAGCCAAAACACGGGCAGACCTAAAACAGAACACGACCGTGTTCTGTGGCCGTGCTTTTACTGCCGAGAGCAAATTCGGGTTGGCAAATATTGGCTAAAAACACGGGCTGAAAGCACGGCCGTGTCAACCAAAGCACGACCGTGTCCTCTCCAAAACACACCCGTGTTTCCCCCATTGCACTGGCTGTGTAATTAACCCTAGCCAAAGCACGGGCGGGCTGAGGCATTATACGGTCGTGCCCTGGACCGTGCTTTGGTCACTGATGCCCTTTTAAGCAGATTTCAGCCAAAACAGAAGGGGATTCGAGTTTTAGAGAGACAGAGCGATTCCTAGAGAGAGAAAGTGACGAACAAGAGTCTCCAAGTGCCCTAGCTTGATCTTCATCACCATTGGAGGCCAGTTTGAGCTTGGAGAAGTGCCGATCAACGTCCAGGAGCAGAAAACCATCCTTCACAGTATGAATTCCGCGTCTAATTCTGCTTTTGCTTCTTTCTCCATGGAGTAGT